CCAACTCATACTTCTAGAATATCGTCCCTCATTGAATTCGTTTCTAATTTGCCAACTTGTTTCCTTTAATCTCTTAATTTTTAACTCTAGATTAATTTTAGTTAAATATTCATACTTTAAAAAATCGCTTGAATAGATTAATTGTCTTAGTTTAATTTAGTAAATAGTTAATCACAAGTCCCTGTGGGTACGATATCTGAACTTACAATCCTGTATTACGTGTCGACCACATATACTTGCGTGTGTGTTTGGGAGCAACAATTGCACTTCAAACTAAGTTTTTTCTCTCTTTAAATTCAACCTAACGTCTGAAGTTTATCCTAAATTAGGTAAACTTGTAAATTTTTATGCGAAGTGGATGTACCTTTAATGGTGACCCAAAATCGGGTATAGATACAAATACCCAAGTGGATAGCAAAAACACAAAAGGGCCCATACACTAGGAGCCATTAGATGTTAATTCAATTTTTGAGTAGTAAAAGTAAAAAGATTCGGACCTTGAGCAGCCTATATGCCAAAGGAACACCCCGAATATGCGCAAGGTTCCTCAGTGAGATTCGTACATTCACAAAAAATCCCATAATTATTTGACACGAGAAAAGGTTTAAATATTATCCCTCATTATACTTTGGATCCAAATATACTTTTGTCGTTATACTATTAGTTCAAATATATATTTTCCGTTAAGTTTTTTCAAGGTGAACATCCAATCCTACGTGACACTGTCATTTGATGAGGTGGATACCACGTGGCATTCTACCTCAGTGCCCCTAAATCATTTTACCCCTCCCTTCTATTTTTTCTTCTTAACATCAAAATTTCTCTCATTTCCACCACCACTGTCACCATTACCGCCACTATGCATAATATTGTATTTTAAAATTTAGTCTTTTATATATGTTTGTTTCTCCACTCATCACTCGCATTGGATTCAGTACAATTCGAAACATCTCGAATTTTAGGTGAAGTTCTCTTCCTCGAGAATTTAGAAAATCTCTTTATTTACTACTAGTATGCGTGATATTGTGGTGACTAATTGAAATACTATTTTTAGACCTAGGTGCTCAAAGCATTTATAGATGAGTAACATTCCGTCTCATACTATTTAGATACTCCAATTTTGTATGAGTTGATTAGCTAAAACTTCAATATGTTCATGGTGGCAATGGTGTTGGAGGGGAAGAAAATATTAGTGGTGGAAAAATAAATAAAGGGGAGGGGTAAAATGGATTAGGAGCGGTGAGGTGGCATGCCACATGACATCCACCTTATAAAATATTAGTGTCACGTAGGATCGAATGTCCACTTTGGACAAATTTAACCAAAGAGGGGTATATGTCACGACCCAATTTCCATCCCGGTCGTGATGGCGCCTCTCGTGAAGACAGGGCCAGCCAACTAACCCAAATCGTCTCTTTAACAATTATTAAACATAAATGAATATATAAATACAGCTTAACGACAATAATAACCAGTATTTACAACCCAACACAACCCGACCGGGGTGTCACAAGTCACTAGCATCTAAAGAAGTCTGAACACGGCTACAGGGTCAATAATATACAAAATAAAATCTGGAATCAAAAGACGAAGTCCGGTGCCGCGAATGCTAGCGGTCACCTTGCTCAGCTACAATGGTAATACCTTCGTTTAGCTAATAACCGAGTGAACAATACCTGCAACTGCACGCGAGGTGCAGGGAGTAAAGTGAGTACTCCAACTCAGTGAGCAATAAAAGTAAATAATAACTGAGCGGTAAGAAATCACGTAAAAGCACTCCATCAAGCTGTATAGGACAGTGCAAATCTTTGAGAAAAACAGTGAGACCATAAAAATCCTTTAGAAAATATCTGGGCTCAGTTAAAACCTCTTTTGAACATATCCTCTCCAACAGTTAAGCAAATGAATGCGAAATCAGATAGTGCAAGTCAGCACATAAGTCAGCCCCTCGGGCACAGCACTCCATAAACAATTAACACCAGGGCATCTGGTACACGGTGCAAGAAGTAGCATGGATGCCAATGAAATGAGAGTGCTGAATGTCATGACACGTAATACAAACAGGAACCAATGCATGAGTGCAATGCAATGCATATGACCACTGCGGCGTGCAGCCCGATCCATTTGGGTACCCGCGCTCGCTGTGGGGGTTCAGACTCCGGAGGGGCTCCTACAGCCCAAGCGCAATATCAATATAACACCGCTGCGGCGTGCAGCCCGAGCCATCCATATATCCAGAAATCACTATAACACTGCTGCAGCGCGCAGCCCGATCCATGTTCAGTCCAGAAATGCACATAAGCCCCTTGGGCAATAATAAAATAGAAGTCCTCAGTACAAAACGTCAGTAAAATATCATTTAAGTTTTCAAATCATGAAAAATGGCTGAATTTGCAACACAGTATTAAAACCCTGGACCGAGATCAAATAACATGCAAAGTAATGCAAAAACAGTGATATCAATCCCTGAAGGATTCAAATAATCGGCACGAAGCCCAAAACATGGCAATCAGCCCAAATCATGATGATAACAAGTAGTTTCAGTCGCATACGTAGTAATTTCATCAATCGGGACAGACCAAGTCACAATTCCCAACGGTGCTCTACCCCACGCTCATATCTGGCATGCAAGTCACCTCAATACAGCACTATGATGTGCAAATCCGAGGTTTCAAACCCTCAGGATATCATTTACAAGTATTACTCACCTCGAACCGGCGAAATCTCAAGCCCGCGACGCCTTTGCCCTTCAAATCGGCCTCCTCGCGCATCGAATCTAACCAAAATCAGGGCGAATACATCATAATATGCCAATGGGACAATACCCAATCGAAAACAGTCGAAAAATAGCAACAATCTCGAAACTAGCAAAATCCGAGCCCCGGGCCCACTTCTTGAAAAATTACAAAACTCACATTACCGGATTCCTCGTCTCGCCACGAGTTCATACATACCAAGAACTCCCAAATCCGAGCTCAAATGACCTGTCAAATCCCAAATTAAAATATCAAAAACTCAAGCCCTAGTCCATCAATTTTAGGCTTAATTCCCTTAATTTCTAGGTTAATTTCACATAATAGACATGCTTTTAACTCAAAAATCTTACCTTCAATAAACTCCAGTCGAAACCCTCTTCAATTGCTCCCAAAAAGCTCTCAAGATGCTCAACAATGGAGGAAAATAATACCTAGCTCGCGGAGGAAATATTTAATAATCAGCCCAGCACTTTCGCTTATGCGGTCCCCATCCTGCTTCGGCGGGAACACTTCCGCGCTATTCCTTCCGCTTCTGCGGAAATCCCACTCTCGAACCAAACCGCTTCTGCGGTTACAACATCGCATAAGCGATTCCGCTTTTGCGGCTACACCAACGCTTCTGCGGAACCAGGCGCCCAGGCCTCCTCACCGCTTCTGCGGTCAACCCATCGCTTAAGCGGGTCCGCTTCTGCGGTCCAAGACTCGCAGAAGCGAGAATACGAGATATCAGCAACATTTGAAGTCTCCAAGTCCAAATTTCATCCCGCTAGCCATCCGAAATCACCCCGAGGCCCCCTGGGACCTCAACCAAAAGCACCATGTCTTAAAACATTATCCAAACTTGTTCCAATCATCACAACACATCAAACAACACTAAAATCATCAATTCTCATCGGATTCAAGCCTAAGTTCTTTTAAAATTTTCGAAACCCGCATTCGATCAAAAACTCAACCAAACGACGTCCGAATGACCTGAAATTTTGCACACACATCACAAATCACATATCGAAGCTACAGCAACTCTCAGAATTCCATTCCGACCCTCGGATCAAAATCTCACCTATCAACCGGAATTCGCCAAAATACTAACTTCGCCAATTCAAGCCTAATTCTACACCGGACCTCCAAAATCAATTCTGATCGCACTCCTAAGTCACAAATCATCCCCCGAAGCTCACTGAATCACCGAAAATCACATCCGAGCCCTCTAACTCAATAGTCAACATTCGGTTGACTTTTTCAACTTAAGCTTTCCTTAAAGAGACTAAGTGTCTCATTTCTTATCAAAACCAATCCAAATCAACTCTAACACACCACATACCGATAACGAAACATGAAGAAGCATGAAATGGGGGAAACGAACCAATAACACATGAGACGACAGGTCGGGTCGTCACAGTATATTTAAACCAAAAGTATTAAGCCAAGAATATGTATGGGTTCAAAGTATAATAAGGGCATATTTAATTTTTTTTTATAGTACAAAAATATGTTACAAATTATTTAGTAAATGTGGATGTCCACTACTCCCACTACTTTCACCCATGATGTAAATTACCTCCCACTACTCATCACCATTATGATTGTAACTCCCACACCTCCATAACCCCTCCCCATGATCTTCCCCCATGATCTCAATTGTTAATGCCATGTTTAAGACAATGATTTTGTAACCTTCATATGTAATAGTATAAATAGAGGCATGAAATGTGAGATGGAATACACTTGAACATTTGATGAAATAAGAAAGTTATCTCTTCTTCTCTTATTCTACTTATCTTCTTGTTTTATATTGTTACTTTGAGCTACATTTTTTAACACGTTATCAGCACGAAGTTGAGCTCTTTTCGTTGTTCAGGTATATTTGTTCATTTTTTTTTTCCGTTGTATATTTTGATTTCATGATTAGTGTCTTTAATATGTCGTTTTATAATTTCTCACATTTCTAGATATATGTAAAAATAAAGAATTCTATGTTTCTTTATTTTAAGTTATTTGCATGATTGTCATGTGAAAGTTGCTAGTTTTTATGTTAATAGAATTAATTGAGAGAAGATATTTTGGTCTAGTTAACACCAAAGATATACTAATAATTTGAAGAAGAAAAAATAGTATTCTTTTCTATGGAATTATCACTTTAGTGTATATGTAGATCACAAATTTGATATTATGTCAATTTTTAAGATTCTTTATGCTATTATCCTAATGATTTCTAATTAGTTATCTTCTTTGATAGTTTTTACTATGTCGAATTTGTCAAAGCTTGAGTTTGTGGCACTTGACATTTCTGGAAAGAATTACCTATCATGGGTTCTCGATGCTGAGATTCACTTAGCCGCTAAAGGCCTTGGTAACACCATTACTCGGGGTAATAAGGCATCAAGCCAGGACAAAGCGAAGGCCATGATTTTCCTTCGTTATCATTTGGATGAAGGTTTGAAGGTTGAGTATTTAACAGTGAAAGATCCACTTGAATTGTGGACTGGCCTGAAGGAAAGGTATGATCACCTTAAGGCTACGGTATTGCCAAGGGCTCGATATGAGTGGATGCACTTACGGTTGCAAGATTTTAAGACCGTAAGTGAGTATAACTCTGTTGTGTTTCGAATAACTTCTCAATTGAAATTATGTGGGGAAGTTATGAATGATGAGGATTTGCTGGAAAAGACTCTTACGACTTTTCATGCCTCAAATATGGTATTACAGCAGCAATACCGTGAAAGGGATTTTAAAAAGTATTCTGAATTGATCTCATGCCTTCTGG